TGAACAACAAAATAGAGCTCTTAATACGTATAAGGCGCGACAAGTTTTTCATTCACAAAATAATAAGTATATTTATATATATACTCATAATAGTAGTATAGCTAATAGCGCGTAAAACGAGCGTGGGAGTTTCTATTGATGAAGTTTCTTGTTTTCTGTTTTGAGTTGTCAGTTTTCAAGCGCGTTTATAAATCAAACAAACAATATCACATATTTACACAGTTGCATTCACGCACACACACTCACACAGATGCATTTAAGTATCTCTCAAAATGCGTGAGAAAGAGAGGAACGGGGGAAGTTGGATTTTTTTGAGGTTAAGTGGGACACTGAGCGTTCCACTTTGGGCTGCTGCCGTTTTTGACACTTTGACTCGAAGTCGAATTTGTTGTTGGTTTTTCTTTCTCTTGGCTTGGGCGTTGCTGTTCTTGCCACAGTTCTTTGCATTTCAATTTGAGCAGGACAGTTTACCGTTAGCTTTCGATATGCACTTTAGCTTCCACTTCCACTCCATCCACTCGATCCAACTTATTGTAGAACGACGCGAATTGATTATGCTGCTAATTTATTAGATTTTCTACTCAAAGCAAAGACAGCTAACTCGTTTCGCTGCTGCTGCTGCCTTTTACAGTTCTTAGCCAGACACTAACACTTGGGCCACCGCCTCGACCACTGTTCAGAGTGAGGGGCAACAAGTCCACAAATTCACCTGTAGCTGTGTAGCGAGTCGTTTAGTTTGTTGTTTTTTATTTTATCTCTCTCTGTCTCTTTTCATCTTATTCTTTTGCTTCTGTTCGAATTGGCTGCTTGGCCACCACTTTAGCACTTGGCTAGCTGCTGCTTCGCCATCGTCTACTACTTGCTGTGCTGTTTACAGCACGCATACACACTCACACACTCACACTCACGCGCGCTTTTACAATTTATGTATTTTCTTGTATTACTCGTTTTTAAGCTTATGCTGCTTCATGTTTGGTTTGTTTAGATGTGTGTATACATGTGTGTGCTGCTGCTGCTGGTTGTTGTTGTATGTGCATAAATTAAAAGAGAGAAAAACACACGTCTGTACACAATAAAAACCTGTTTGTTGCTTGACTCTAGGTGTGGGCAAACGCAACGCGGCGCGGCGCGGGGGTTGGTACGCTTGAGTTGGCTTGTAGTTTTTTTTGTATAGTAAACGCAACAGTAATCACATTAGCTTTGATTTTAAATATAAATTTTACACATAAAATTCACAATATATTAATTTTTTATGATATGAATGCATTTGATGCAAGCCTTAGCCATCACTAAACTCACCAAAATTCATAAAAAATGTTCAAATAATGATCAAATTAAGCGAAAAACACGAACTACAAAAATTATACTCTTTACACTAC